GTCAATTCCCCCCCCCCCCAATCTCCCGGTCGAATCAAACTTAGCTGAACCCAGTTTAGTAACTACATGAGTGTAGCACTTACTGTTTCTTATCTGTCATTAGAAGTATTATTGTTTTTAGATAAACTAAAGATTGTGGGTTGCAGTCAAAATGCATCTTTTACTTTTGTTGTACTCCAGTTCAATTTCAATCTACTAAGTAAATCCAACTAAGACGTTGTAATATGGTGGAGGAGTTTCGCTATCTACCGCAAGAACTTTAAATTATTAGGCTGGAGTTTTAAGTCTGGGGGGACTAATGGTCTCCATTTTGTTTAATTGAAGACTCACCGAAAGTAAGGGTCCAAAGTAGAGTTAATTGGCATTTCACTCAATTTATTCCTTTTGGTTTATCATTTTCAGGTGGCCAACATGATAAGATTTTTGGTTGATAGTTACAACAAACCAATTCCAGCCATTTTGGAGATCCCTTCAAAGGATCATCCATATGATCCTGCCCATGATTCTGTTCTATCACGAGTGAAGTATCTCTTCTCTGCCGAATCAGTAGCTGGCGATAGGCGTTAATGTTGGAGTAATGTTTCTATATTCCCCAACTATTTCATAATATCTTGATATTGTATCATGTCCCCACTCTATCAAGAGATAATTCATTTTGTAATCTGTTTTAAATATTTAAGCGGTTTGTGTTGTTCTCGACTGTTGATTTTCAAGTTGTATAAGTTAAAAGTGACTCTGAGTGAACAACTTGTTGCAAATAAGTCAGTTGCTCTGTTCTTTGGGAGGTTCAATTGATATTATGGATGATTATTCTTAAAGAGTAATCAAATAAACTATTTGAGGACTGCATCAATTTTCTGCTCTTTGATCTCACTGTGCTCATGGAAAATTTCTTGTTAGCCCAAGAATGTACTCTTCATTTTTTGTCGGCTCAACTCTGCTTCTGAAAGTGACCATTTGTTACTTTGTGCTCAAAAGTGACAACGTTTTCTTTTGCGGAGACATGATTTGAACTCGTGACCTCAAGGTTATGAGCCTAGCGAGCTACCAAACTGCTCTACCCGAATTTGTAGAGATCCATTATCTATGTTTTTCCTGAACAAACTAGAAGTGAAACGGGTGCATAAGGATACTGTGCTCAGCCTCCATACAATCATAACATTGAAAGTATCAAGTTCTACGTTTGAAACTCCAACACAAATATTCCTTAGTAGCTCGTTGCTACAACTTCTATTTAGCTCCTTCCGCGTTTACTCACTTCACTCTCTCTCGTATAGTATCAGTTCTTCAAAACAACTGATTCTCTTATTCTTGCAGAAAAATAAGTTCTTTTGAACTTATATTGGCTCCTGTACTAGCAATTTGCCCTTCTATTACTTAACCGCCAAATCTGAGTGTAAACAGAATATACCTAAAGTTTTTGAGACATAAAATGGTTTTGTGGATAATTCGTTTTCGACTAAAATCATGTATAGTTGTATACATATATAAAAGAAAATAACTCTAAATTGAAACAGCAAAAATAACACAGGCAGAATTTTTACTTTTTCAAATAACAATTAAGGTGGAGCAGGGTCAGGAACGATGAATCTCTTTATGATCATAAACAGATCCATTTTATAAGTTCGTTCTTATAGGTAATTCCTACAAAGGATCGGACTAATGACATATAAAATACTTAAATTTTCGATGTAAATGCTACATAGTTGGTGTGTAATAAGAGCATCCATCGATAAAAGGATTATCCTAAGATGATCATCTCGTGGCTATTGAGAATGAATGAAATCATGACTAATTAAGAACTCAGTAATCACATTAAATCAAGATATGATACTGATATCACAATTTAATAATAATGACATCAAATAAGATAAATTAAATATATACATGAATAACATTCTCTTTTAACTCACCTTACAAATCGAAGAAAAGAAAAAAAAATTGAGGTATTGACCCTCAAACCAAATCTCTCCAATTCTTTTCTTCTTCCAAAAGAGTTAAAAAAACAAAAAACCATACACTAAATTAAAAGATAACCATCATGATCCCAAATACTTTCACTAATTAACTGATCATCTCCAGTAAAATCACTTAAACACAAATTCTCCAATTCAAAATCACCTAAACTCGAAATATCCATCGTTGGACTATTACTAGAATTCGTCGTTGAAGATGAACCAAATGTTTTATTTTCATTAACTGATACTAACATACCTCCCTTATGTTCTTTCTCCTTTTGATCATTGCAATTATAACAATCATATCCAAATGAAGTTACATGAGTTATTGTATTATCTTCTTCAAAATCGTCGTTGTTCTCATCTAGTCCAAAATTTAAGTTTATTGGACCTTTATGAGCTCCCAAGAAAGTATTAGCAGTGTGACATCCTGTAAATTGTTGTACTAGAGCTCGAAAATTCGATGCATCTGCATTGAGATGAGTTGTTGGAGTTTTCTTTGATGCTCGAGATCTTCTTCGAATTGGTGACTTTTTTATGGTACCATTTTTAGGACTTAACTCATGACTACACAAAGAGTTTGTAATAGTAGTAGTAGTAGTAGTGTCACAGTTTAAGGTTGATGATCTTGTCATTTGAGGGATAGAAGAGTTTTGCATGGTTTTTTTTTTTGTTTTATAATTATAACTACTTGTGTTGTGAAAACAACCTAGGCAAGAATGTATATATATATATAGTGGATTTTATTTTTTGGTTGAAAAATAATTAAAGATGGATGGTTGACTATTTTTTTTTGTTTGAGTTGGGATTAAGTAAGACCAAGATATATAGGTGTGGAGGTGTGTTTCGAGGAAAGAACATGGTTAGATAATGATATATGTGAATGCGTCATTCATCTATATACTTTTCTTATGAATATTATTTTAGAGAACTATATATTATAATTAACTAAGAGAGAGAATGAGAGTAATTTCAAAGGATAGATGAAATTATGTGTGTTGTGAAAGTAATTATGGTATGGAAGTGGCATTTTTGAGCGGTGAGAGAATCAATTGTAATGATGATGTGATTTATTCAGAGCATCTGCGTTGGAAAAAAATCTTTGATTCCATTAGTGATAATACATATTATTATTGAATCATGTTTTATGTTTTATAGCTTTCAATTTTTTTGTTTGATGAATATATTCTTTGATGTTATTCCTTTATGATGGTTAATTTGAAAATAATAGAATAGTTAAATAGAATTTGTTAGCTTGTAGGGTCTTATAAAGTAGAGTATAAGTATAATCACCTAGTTAAGTTAACTAATTAAGCATCCTTAATCATCTCCGCGTTGTAATGGAAGGGGCATGTGCTACTTGAAGATTGCGATAGATTTATAAATCATTGTCTTAAATTAATATTCTATTTAGTGAAAATGATTAACTAGTGATTATATTATCTAATGGTTGACCATGAATATTGACACGCAACCAACTAAGTTTTTCATATGCCTATTATCAGGTCGTGTTCACACCTTTTGCTTTCTATGTTGCAAAGAACACAAATACTGTTGAAAAAATTAATTTACTCGATCAGCCACAATATTTACGTAGTTTTACTTCTATCTTGTGAAGGGTAGAAATTGTTTTTGACAGACTTTTGACTTAAATACAGTAATGAGTAAATCTTCTCCTTTAATATGCTATGTCAGTTCATCTATCACCAAGACAAGTAGAACATGCTAAGAGTTGATTCCTAATGCAACCTCCATTACGACTAGGAAGTGATTTGAGTTTTATCACTCGGGTCTTGACTTCATTGTACAGGTTTTTAATGACCCTAATGTTAGCTACATATACATCTTTAGCCTCAAAACATGAATATTGAAACCTCATAGGGACTTTGTCATAGGCTTTTTCTAGTCAATGAACGTCGTATATAAGTTCATCTTCCTCAACCTATTTGGTTCATCAACCTCCTTACGCGATGTATGGCTTTTATAGTTGCCCCCCCCCCTCGTCCCCCGCACCCTCGCCCTGGGCATGGACCAAATTGTTCTCGCTGATAGACACATCTCTCTTCATCTTATCTCAATCATCCTCTCCCAAATTTTCATAGTGTGGTTTAACAACATGACACCCCTATAGTTATTACAATTCTGAGCAATATTATCATTTTATTCTTGTACAACAAAATCATTGACCCTACCTCCATACCTACACTCTTCCCGAATTCCACTAGAATCGTGTATGACCCGATCACCCTTTCTTTTCTTATCTTATGATAACCTTTTATAAATCTCCTCAAACTTAATATTCCTATAACATTCAAATCTCGACGACTTTTAGAGTGCTCTAAATCATTCTGTGAAATATTTTTATCCCCCTCTCTCTTTAAGATACTTCAAACTATAATCCTATAACATTCAAAATCTCTTCAACTAATATAATTTCACGATTGGAGCAAGTGTTTTAAATATATACCATTGTATTAGAACCAAAAAAGATGTGGAAAAATACATGATATATCATATCTTTTTTGAAATACTAAAACTTGAAACACGGTTATGACAAAAGCAGTACAACATATAAATGGAAGAATTTTTTTTTTTTTATACTTATTTAAAAAGGGATTATAAACTCAAACACATGTCAAGTCTTTATAAGGTAGTATATGTAATTAACTTTATTTGTCTTTATCGATACATCTTACAATACAAATAAAATTGTACTGCTATTTGTTTTTTAATCAATTATTTTGGCCTTCTTTCAACGTCAAATTATCTTTTTACATTTTAAAAAAATCCAAGATTCTTTCGAGAAATAGCTAAGGAACATTGAACGAATATAAATATTTTTAGGATTTAGTTGTATATACTGAAAAATAATAAGAGTTTTTACAAGATTAACATAGTATATTAACATTTTATAACTATAACAAGTTAATTAATTGCCATATTAGTTAGTTTCACCTACAAATATTGCCAAATGAACTTATATAGTCGTTCTTCTAAAAATTACTCAGTAAACATATATATTGTATCTGTATAATTAATTAGGATATAACATATACATGTGTATGTATTGGTTAGTGACTGTAATATTTTTTATCGAACAACCAAACATGTAATTTATTCTTATAAAAATTTACTTATAGTATCTTACTGACATTAATATTTTTTACACAATCAGTGCTTGGTATATGAACGTTTGGTATATATATATATATATATATATGAAGAAACTCTCAACCTATCGGTTGATGGTGGAGATGCTCTTGTCAAAAAGTCCAAACAAAAGTGTCGATTCATCATGTTCTTTCGTTTATCTATGAAGAATTCTTCTCAGCTTGAAAACTCTCTTAGTATTTCTTCATACACAATCACACGTTAAACTAAATTTGTTTAATCTATTTAATTTCTTTTTCATTAAACACTTATCATGCCTTAAACGATTTAGGAAACTAAACCTTAGTTAAACTATGATATCCATGTTTAAAGTCAAATGTATTCAAAAGTCTAAACCAAACAAGAAAGAAAAAGTACAAAGATGATTATAATTAATTGTTTGTGTATTCAACAAGAGATACAAATATGTCCAATTAATTAAGCTTCATGTATAGCACACTTAACTTTCAGTTGCCTATCTCTATTCAAAGAAAACTAGAGGATCGATAGAATTTAATTTACAAGTGAGAATACAACAACTTATTAGGAAAAAAGATTGACCGCAATTTGCACTTTATACATATAATTTAAGACTGAATACTAAAAAAAAATCGTCAATCTCCAGCTCACAGCTGACCAGTATAAATTATGTGTGTCACCCTGCAAGCTTTAATTTGTCACACACTATCTACTCATCTCTAGTCCAACTTTTTTGTACCTCTTTACAATCTATACCCTTAAAATT